AAACCATCAATTCTTCACTCTTACTTGGTGACATACTCGAGGGTGGTGACGTTCCTTCCCCCAGGTTGTCTTCCTCACACGAGGCCTGGTGTGCAGACAGTGAGTCAACGCCAAGTACCGGGCAGTCTGCACATGCAGGCCAGGCGTAGAACGTGGACCCAGCAGCTGTTTGCCGGTTCACCCCACGTTAGCCATGTGACAGCAGTTTTTATAAGATTAACATCCTTAAACAATTACTTTGCAATATCCTCTTTTTCTCTTTTTGTGGCTGACATACACCTTCTTTCCTGTGTAATGTTCTTCATTTATCATGGACATCATAAGAAAAATCTTGGGCTTCTCTTTCATCATAAATCATATTCAACTTTTTTCTGCTTTCAAAATCTGGAATTTTCATATTTGCAACACCTGGAGTTGAGAGTTGTATTAATTGTAACTGTAGCAAAGAAAAGGGGCTGACTGGCCACACAGCTGTCAAGCAGGACAACTCTGCAAGACTGATCCACACAGATAGGTTTCTGGTTCAAGTTTGGAGATCTCTCCGAGTACACCAGGCACATGTGTCCCCATGATCCAGGGCCAGCTGAGGCAGGAGGCGACTTACAGCATCAGGATCCTGCTGGCTGGCTGGCTGTCTCCTTATTCTCTCAGAAGAAATAAATAAACTTTTTATAAGAAGAATTATTTTTATATAACTTTATTTTAATTTGACCAGAGAGGGACAGAGAGAGAAAGCAAGCTGCCAGACTTAGGACTCGAACCATAGTCACCCATGTGGGAATCCAGCACCCTTAACCACCATGCCACCTGCTGGCCCCTAAAAAGACTTTTTTTTTAAAGCAGAAAGAGTTGAAACCTATAGGAAATACCTTGTTTGTTTGTTTGTTTTTAATTACTGTTTATTTACTCAACAATTATTTGAGTGCTTTTCACATGCTAGGTCCAATGTAAAATAAGACAAGAAGGTCCAGGCCCTCAGCAAATTCTATATTTATTGGGCACATACAGAAGGAAGAATTGGCCCAAAAAAGTAGAAAAAGAAGGGGCAGAATGGAGAAAGGAAGAGCAGAACATTGTAACTCTCCCAACCACTTCAGGGTAAGCATTAGGGTGCTTATTTTTCTGGAAAAAATGAAACTAAAAGGCACACTGAGTTGATCACTTGCCCAAGATTGCACAGATGAACAGAGGCACCAGGAGACACACACATCTTTATGGCTTGCAAACTTTCATTTTCTTTTGCACTAACCCAGTACAGATTCCCACAGTCTCCATGCTTTAGGGCTCACCAGTCAAGGAGCAACAACCCTTTGCATTTCTTTAGATCAGATGTGAAAAATGTTCTTTTCAACCAGTAGCTGTTTACCACTTATTTTGCATTAGCAAAACTCAAGTTAATTTATTAATTTTTGAAAGGCAATAGAGATGTTCCTCTTCTGATTTCAGATAGCAAGTTGAGTTGAAACTCTACTCAGAAAACATATCAATAGTTAAAACATAGCTCATTTATTGCCAAAAGGGCATAAGCATCTTTAAAATTTGCCAAAACTCTAGGTGACTAAAATCAAACTCAGATACTTTCATATTTTTATTTCTTATATGAGAAAGAGACAGAAAAAGAAAAACAAGCACACTCAGCAAAATCTATACCACAATCTTCCCCCAGCCTTCCCGGATCATGCCCACTGCTCACATGCTCCATGTATACAGGCTGACCTAGAAACTGCACCCTGATCTTCCTTATGGATTCCAGCACTGCGCTGCATTATCGTTGTACCATCCTGGCTGGGCCCGTTCTTCTTTAATGATAAAAGAAAAGGCTTCTGGGAGCAGCAGTTAGCGTAATGACTATGTCACTGGACTCCCACGTAGTCGACCGTGGTTCGAGTCCTGGACCCGGTGGCTTAAAACTCACGCCGGGCGCATGTGCCTGCGTGCCCAAGATCCCAAGAGGAGAATGGAGGAGAAGGGATTGCAGCGTGACCATCCCCCCTGGGGGGTGATTTCTCACTTTCTGTCTCTCTGTCTCTCTCTGTCTGTCTGGCGAGCTCACGCACCCTATAGCAAAAACCTCTCCAAAAAAAAAAAAGGCTTAATTCTTAACATGTTTAAATATTATCAGAGCTGATTATCAACAGTGTTTACCACTAGAAAGTTTGAAAGTATGTTCTAAGCACTTTCATTTTTATAAGATACCACTTTCTTTTTTTTTTTTTTTAAAGAAAAGAAAAAAAAAAGTTGAGACCAGCAGATGGCATAATGGTTACATCTCTGGACTTTCATGTAGCCTCTGCCATTCAGGTTCCAGAACTGGTGACTTAAAACTCACACCAGGTGCATGTGCACGCATGCCCAAAATCCTGAGGGGAGAATGGAGGGGGAGGGATTGAGGTGTGACCATCCCCACGAAGGTGATTTCTCACTTTCTGTCTCTCTGTCTCTTCGGCGAGCGCATGCACCCTATAGCAAAAAATCTCACTCTGAAAAAGAAAGTCAAGCAGTATAGTTTAAAAAAAAATAAAATAAAACTGATCAAAATTGCCTACAATTCTGTCATCACTGTTTGATGAGTGTTCTTCCAGACATCTCTGTGTAAATATGTTTAAATTATTAGAATCATACAGTTTATGCTGCTTATTATCCTGGAGATTTCATAATGTGTCATGGACTTAAAAGAGCCTTTTTGAGCCTTCTTTTTGGTTCAGAAACTGCCATCTTCTAGTGATTCACCAAAATGATGGA